TGTTGGTTTATATCCAAGTTGGTTTAGCATTGAATACCTCCTATTAATGGCTAAACTATTGCTTATGAGAACAAAGATTCCTGTATTTGTCTAATAATTTTTAAAATTACATACAACAACACGTGTATGCATTAGACCAACAAGATATAATAAGTCCTCCCACACAATTGGTTCCGAATCAAAAACCAAATATTTTTTCTATCTAATAACTTTTGATGTGTGGTATATGATTAATTTCTCTACCACAAGGCATAAAGTTAGGTTCCCCAAAGAAGATTGGGGACATATGATAGTTTTTCTAACATTAAGGGGATGAAATATGCATCTAGAAAATATGTTATATGAACCGAATTATCATTAGTATGATCCTCATTCAGAAGATAATTCAAGTAAAATGCCAGAAGCAATTGTTGATCCAAAATTAAATATCATATTTCATATGCAAATGCTCCTATTAAAATTAAATTTTCTGAAGGATAGAGTTTACTACACGCATGAAGTGTGATAGACCAATCGGTTCCAAAGATAACAATCCTTGAAAAAGGATAGGAGTAAATAATCAAAATGATCATAATGAGGAGGAAATAAGCTCTAGAAGAGCCCACGGCATAATATTTCATGAAACTCCAGAAGAAGTTCAGGTACCTGAAAATAAAGAAAGTGATGAGATCTCAACAAGTTATATCGCTTGCGAACCGATACAAAATAATTGTCGATAATATATTTGTTACGATATAGTGCACAATATTGTAAAAGATTTTTAGGATCAGATATGTAGTCTAGACAATTGAAGATGTCATGCCATTTAAATGCAAGTTATAACCTATATGACTCATTTGATCAAATTTATATGAAGATCCCTGAAGGATTGAAAATGCTTAAAGCATATAATTTAAAGTCTCGAAAAATGTACTCGATCAGATTATAAAATTCTTCTTACGATTTAAAACAATCAGGGTGTATGTGGTATAATCGTCTCACTGAATAATTGATGAATGAAGGTTATATAAATGATGTCATTTTTATAAAGAAAACAGCATCAGAGTTTGTTATATTTGATATTTATGTTGATGAGATAAATCTCATAGGAACTCCAGAAGAGCTCCAAAAGGCAAAACTTTATCTTACTCTGCAAATTGAATATTTAGTAGGCGAGATCTTTATCCATCAGTTTGCCTATACAGAAAAGGTCTTAAAACGCTTTTACATAGATAAGAACATTCATTGAGTACCCCAATGGTCGTTCGATCACTTGAAGTGAATAAAGATCCGTTCCGACCTCCAGAAGAGAATGAGTAACCCCTTGGTCCTGAAATACTTTATGTCAATGTAATTGGTGCACTTATGTATCTTGCTAATTCTACAAGGCCTGATATAGTATATATTTTTTTTTGTTAATTTCCTAGCAAGATATAGCTTTTCTCCTACACAGACATTGGAGCGGAATTAAATATATTTTAATATTTAAAGGGAACTCTTGATATGGGTTTGTTTTATGCTAACAAAGGTAGTGCATATCTTGTTGATTATGCAGATGTAGATTATTTATCTGACCCATATAAAGCTCGATCTCAAAAAGGTTATCTGTTTACATGAGGAGATACTGCAATATCATGGAGATCTACAAAATAGTCCTTTGTTGCTACTTCCTCCAATCATGCTAAGATAATAGCTATTCATGAAGTAAGTTGAGAATGTGTATGGTTGAGATCAGTGATACATTTCATTAAAGGGAGATGTGGTACGAAATGTGATATCAAAATACCTACAGTCTTATATGAAGATAATGTTGCATGCATAGCCCAATTAAAGGGAATAAAAGGAGATAAAACGACTCACATTTCACATAAGTTATTCTTCACACCTGATCTCTAAAAAAATAGTTATATCGATGTGCACCAAATCCGTTCAAATGATAATCCGGCAGAATTATTCACTAAATCTTTACCAACTTCAACTTTTGAAAAGATGGTATACAAGATTGGAATGCGAAGACTCAAATATTTGAAACAAGGTTTTCATCAGGGGGAGTAAAATACGGGTTATACTCTTTTTTCCTTACTAAGGTTTATCCCACAAGGTTTTTCTTGTAAAGTTTTTAATGAGGTAGCTAGCAATGTGTATTACTAAATATGTGTACTCTTTTTTCTTCACTAGATTTGTTTTTCATGGAATTTTTCCTAGTAAGGTTTTAATGAGGCACTTAATAATGAACATCCAAGGGAGAGTATTATGAAAATAGTATATTATGGATATCCAATTAATACTCTACTGTATTATCCATTTAGTTCTCCTTTAAAATTTATTTACAAGCAGTTGATGTAGGCAAGTTGTAAGCAACTCAATTAAATGACTTGAAACAGCTTCGTATTAAACATGTAGGTTGCGAGTAACTCATGCAGATAGCTTACAAGCAGTTCAAGAAAAGCCTCATAATTGCTTCCTTTCTTTTATAAATAGAGGAAGTTTCAGTTCATTATGTACATCAGTTTGTAGTTAAATAATATATCAGTCTCATTATATTTTTGGATTATTTACTTTACGGTCTTTATTTTATAATAAAATCATGTATTAAGTTTCGTAATTTATTACAAAATCCAGCTGCATTAATTCATCAATATGTCTTGTCTTGATGTATTCTCATTGTACAAAATACGAATCACTTGCCGAACAGCTAATGACTTGAGAAAACGTTTAGAAATTTAACATGATATGCACCCAAAAAAGTGTAGATTTAATGGAAAGTATTGGTGGTCAATGAAAGACACATATATGTAGCCATAGGATTCCACGTGTTGAGGTGCTTCCACGTGGTCTGCTTAAGCCCTAATTAGCTGACACATATTATATACTCCTTTTACTTCTTCTTCCTTCTTAATTTCCCAAGTTTTACAGATCACGAAACCTAAAAGGAAACACAAACAGAGAAAGAAATTATGGGTTCTGAAACTTTTCTTGAAGTCCTGCTTGCTATCATCCTTCCTCCTGTTGGTGTCTTCCTTCGTTATGGCTGTGGTGTATGTTCTTTTTCTACCCTTTTTTCCTTTTATATTTATATTTTTAGCATCATTCTTTACTCCCTTTAGAAAGAATAAAAAGATCTGTTGCCGAATGCTTAGTACTAGGTTTTTGGTCTAATTCTAAAAAGATGGTTGTATTTCATGTGACATTCTAAAAATAAAATACCTTTTTATATTTGTAAATTTTAATTTTAATTTTTTCATTTTACTCTTGTCGACGTGATCTTACTGCTACAAAACATCTATTAGGAGTACATGTTTGGGACTAGAAATTTTATTACATGTTTATGACTATTTAAGTAGTATAAATCTTCTTTTTTTCTTGAACTCCTAACGTCTATAGGGTCTGGTTTGTTTAGATATAAAAAAAATATATAGTGTCTGGTCACCCCATTAAATTGTTAAGTTACTAAAAATACATTATTTGAAGAGAAAGAAAAGGATATGAGATTGAATAACTGTAGCCTGTAGGCATGTTTTATGGATTGCATGTGGCTTTGCAGGGAATAATTTGAAATTCTATATCAAAATAGCACTTATCGTGATTAAAAAGCTGGTTGATCTAAGTATATAATGAATTAAAAAGTTGATTGCTTAAAGTATATAATGAAAAAGTATTCCAAACGGATCAAGAAAATGTAACAAAATTAAATTCGGAATCGATCAGCATATTGAATCTTTTAAAAATCGGAAAAAATCTAGTTATTGATGAGATGCGAACGCAGCAATTCTTGTCATTCAAGCAGTTGTGTAATACCTAGTAATAAATATTTACTCGGAGTTGTAGATTATGTTGATTTTGTTTGTAATAATCATTTCTTTTTTGGGGAAAAAATGCAGGTGGAGTTCTGGATATGTTTGTTGCTGACAATTCTGGGGTACATACCGGGCATTATTTACGCACTTTATGTGTTGGTTGGATAGTGTAACACTTGGTACTGTAAATATATGCCTCTTTATCTTTGTATCATTCTCCAATAAATACCCTCCTTCTTCTTTTCTTTTCTTTTTCTCTTATTCTACCTTTTTTTGTTGGATTCTTTTAATTTTCCGTGGTGATCCAGTAGTACCAAACTTCGTTTTATGAATGTAAATTGGGCAAACCTTTGTGTGGAGTTGCAACTACGTTTTATCCTGAACATAGGGATAATTACGCACCCTTGCAATTAATTTATCTGATATATATAGAGAAACAGGTACATTAATCTAGTAATCTCTGAGTTTTAGCTCTGTGCACTAATCTAATTACTTCTGACATAGGTGATGTGGCGATAACAGGTGACTGTTGTATTATACCACTATATAATTTTATTTTATTTTTTAATGAAGACCACTACACAATTTATGTTCAATATAACCTGTTGTGTGTTCTAACATGTTAACTGATAGTATAAAATTTTATTTGCTTCTTTAACACAATTAGTAGGACCACATAAATACAGTTGGAGGTCGAACACATAATGTGTATATATATATAGTCCAACGTAGGAGATCCAATAATAACACAAAATGTATGTGCATAGTTTAACATAGGAAATCCAAGCAAGGCAGATGGGAATTGAAAGGTACGTATAGTTGCCTCTATATCGACGAGAGTGCTGGGTTTTTTCAGGATAAATGAGAAATATCAAAAGACAGAAACGATGTTACGTTCATTTATTGGATAAAAGTGCTTTGGTCGAGTATCAATACATTCTTAAAATTTGTAGTATGGTTACTACTGAGTCGTTTTGGTTTTATTTATTGGTCAGAGGAATTGGAGATGAATAACCTATTTTCCTTTAGTTTTGGTGTAGTACTATATCGAGATGAACTAAAATTCGGATAATTGATGACATCTATTTCTATTATAAAGGACATACATATATACTCCAAGTTCCAACGGACGGAGGGCACGAGAAATGCTTTAATTAAAGATAAACTCAACCCAGAATATGAACCATAATAGAATAATAATATACACAAATTAAACTCAAAGTATTATAGGCAACAGTGACATCTAAATGTCAATACTGATAGTAAAGGCTCTTTGCTGTTAATAATTAGAGCTCTTTAATACTTTTGACCAGAATTTGTCCTAGAATTTAGATTGTTTCACCAACTTGCCACAAATAAAATGGACTGAGATAATGTAGCATAATCTGCAGAATGAATTATTAATGGAAGCCTGTCGTCAAAATAAGCTGCTCTGAGCAATTAGCACAAAGTTATTTTTCCCCACAAAGATAAATAGTTTTAAGACAAAAATTAACACTCCCATGACAGAACATCCAGGGATACTGCTCAATTCATTTGCTTTTGGCAAGTTTTTCAGCCCCTTGAATGGGGAGGGGGTTCTTCCCATGTCAATGCTACATGCTATCGTCTATTCGCTTATCCAAATCTAGGCTACCAGTGCTAATTTTCAGCTTCCAGCCTTGTAGAATCATCTGAAAACCGCCATTGACGTGATACCATTGCTGCAAACAAACAAATGAATTTGAGAAAAACTATATGAGAGATGGATTCCATGTGATAAAAGTGTTGCAGACAAGCATCTTATATGACTAAATAAATGTGTAGTATCAGAGATGTATAGGAAGCTGTTCTATGTTCTTACGGTAGTATCCCAATAACACTTGTTTGACCTGGATTACTCTATTTCACTTCATCATTCAATATAACCGCTCAAGTAAAGACGAAAGGTAGTGAGTAGTCCTCTATCTGGAAGCAGAAAATACAAACAGTGGCCCTAAATTCAGTTAGCCATGGCAGCAATGAGGTTCCTCATGGAAAAACTATTCCTCTGGTTCATTGGAAAAAGAAAATATAATTCAGAACCTACCCACATTTAAAGGAAACATACAACAGGAAATTGGAACCAGTGCAAAATCGAAAATAGGGTGCAGCATAAATCAGAAAAAGGAATTCTCATTAATTTACAAAATTCTAATAAAGTTGGACCTGTTGGGTGACAGTTTTGGAGAAGCTCGGTAGATGTTGATTCCTTTGGCTAACTATCGGCTAGCATAGGGATGAATAATGGCCTAGTGCAAGATAATGGAAGAAACTATGACACAGTTTCCTGTGGTGAAATGACGTCTCTTTAAATTCAGCAAGTGTGACGAGTAATTTCACTGGACTCCATAGTTTCGTACGCGTGTGGACTATCCAAGCTTCAGCATGCTATGACAGGGTAACTTTTTGACCACTATAATTCAATTTTTTATAAACAAGCTCAGAACTGCTATGGCAAGAACCTATCACCTTCCACAAAAAATTGTATGCTGGGAATTCAGCAATATGAATTTGGACTGAAAAACAAGAAGACAGAAAGAAAATTGAAAATAATAAATGAAAAGAGAAGAAAAAGAGCTACAGAAACATTATTTTCATATACCATTTTTCCCCAGCTGAGAGGGGGNTACAACCTCCGGATTTCTAGAGAGCCATTAATGCGAATTAGTAATCTCTAGAGAAATATCAATGACCTGTTCCATGTGCATAGGCTAGCACAGACTTGAGAAACAAATAGGATGCTCAGAAAAAGTTATATTGCACACTTGGATATCACCCCAAATTCCAAACTAAAATTCTTGAGCAAGCATGTATTATTGTGTATTGTGGAAGAAGTTTTCAGAAACAGCCTTTAGGTTGTTTTCTTTTTCCTGAAAACAGAAAAATGGAAACAACTGTTTTTTATTTTATGAAATAACACAATTGCTTTCTGCAAAACAATTGCAGAATCGAGCGAAAGTCACGGACTGCTCACTTAAACACTCTCATGGCATTGAAATTTCAGCCCTCACAATACACTCAAAACATAAACCCTGCTTAGTAGATGCCCTCTAATACCTCAGCAATTACACAACCTGAAACTGTTAATACAATCAATAAGGTATGTCAGCTCCTCCACGTCAAGTGGAAGGACATACAAAAGCAATCAAAAGAATTCTTTGAAATTAGAAGAAATAATCCATTATGGCCTCACATTCCTTGCACAAAGTCCATTCAAAACTTTATGGGAACTGCGATGCAGAGCAGGCAGGTTGTCCTAACACAAGGAGAAGCACTTCAGGGATTTTCATCCACCTAAGCACCAACTATATTTCTTAGTCCTTCGGGAAACAACCAACGGTCTCCAACTCTAGCACAGAAGCGGAATATCAATCCATGCATCCACAACTGTAAAATTAGATTAGATAACTTTTCTTCTTCGAGACATTGGTATCCAATTATATCACTCGCCTCAGCTTCTACAAGACAACAAAGGTGTACTTTATATGTAAATTAATCAAGTATTTCATGCTTGGAGCAAACATATCGAGAAAGACTACTATTTTGTTCGAGAAAAAAGTATCTCTTGGTGCACTCACTACACGCTGTATTCCTTTTGCACTTCAAGTTGCAGACATCTTCACTAAACCACTTTAAAGGGTTCCTTTTCCTTCTCTTTGGTCAGCTAGGAGTGCATTCAGTCATTTCCTCCAGCTTGAAAAGCGGTGAAAAGGAGAAGTATAAGCCTAAAATCTATCCCCAGCTGGTATATGAAATATAAGACAACCCATAGCTTATTTTCTCAAAATACCACAATTAATGTGCTTCATGAAAAGAAGTGGTTTTTTAACTCAATGACAAATGCCATCAATGCTGCCAACTTACTGCAAGCAATGGGCTTTTGCAGAAAACGGAGAGCAAACAGCCTAATAAAGGATGATTTGGAATATAGAAGACAAGACCTTGGACTATCATCTCAGGTGTGTCAAGAATAAATAAAACTTTTAATACAGGAACTTCTTCAATTCAATATAACGTCCATAATGCATAGTCAAATTCAGTTCGCTTGAGTAGGTATTAAATTTCATATCCCAAAAGCACTCCCCCCCCCCCCCC